AAGTGGAATAGTACGAAAGCCTTTTATAATACTTTAAGCACTGCTTTCACTTTTCGAAAACTCACCGATATTATTACGATTCGAACCTTTCGAAGAACTATAAGTATTGCTACGATTAAGACCTCGCGAAAAAGAATTATCGGTATTGCTGCGATTAAAAGCTTAACGAGCACTTCGGCGGAGCCTTTTCGTAAAAAAAGCAAAAAAAGCTCGCGATTACGAAAATAAAAATAAGCGAGACAAAGACTTTTTAGCAACTTATCGTAATTAGATCGAAAAAGAATTATAAAAAGCTCGCAATATATACTTACGCGGCTAAAAAAGTTACTTAGCAAAGTATTGTTTTAATCTATTACAATTAAGATTTAACGCAGCAAGTTTAACGAAGCTAAATCGGCGGTAGCAATAGCGGCAAGTAAGCGCAACGCCGAGACGAGACTCAAGCTAGCTAAAGGACTTTTAATATTAACGGCGGTAAAAGAAGCAACGGCGATACGAGTTCGAAAAAAAGAAAAAGCATTACTAACTCGAAAGACGAAAGCGCGGCGAGTCTTTATAAAAAGGTTATTTGCAACTATGCTTTTACGAAAAACCTTATCGGCCGACTTAATTTTATTATTTATAGCCGTTATTGCATCTATTAAAGCTATGCCGGCATCGACGACTTTTACGGAAAGCTATCGAATCAAAGTCAAAACGAGTATAAGACAAAAAGTAAAATAACTTATAAAGATGCAAGTTGACTTGATAACACGGCAACGCTTGTATTTGATAAAAGTGTCGAAAAAGAAGATATACCGGTTCGCAGTATTATCGATAGTTCTGCTTGCGTAGTTTACGCATTAAAAACAAATCGAAAATATAATAATAAATAATAAAGTTAATAAATAATAGTATTAAAAGAAAAATAAAAAAGTGTAAAGTTAATATAAGAAAAGAGTTGATTATTTATAATAAGACTTCGAGTATATATTACTGCTTTTGTTTTCTTTGTTACGTTACCGCTTTAAGCTTCGCGTTATTATCGATTCGGCAATGCGTCACCACTTAACCGCTTAAACCGGCGTACGCTTATCTTAACGATAATACTAACGCTCGAGTTGATATTATTCTTATAATTAAATAAAAGTATTATAAAAGATATAAAAAAGAGTTAAACTTAAAAGATTATCTTGCATTTTCGTTATTATTTTTATCTTTTTTATTATATTATATACGCCTCGTATTAACACCGATCCGGCGATGCATTATTAAGTAGTACTTTAAAACTATATTGCGACCGTGCAATTCGGCTATATACTCGTCTTGCAAAGACAACCTTACCACTTTAATAAAAAGTGACTCGAAAGCGAGTTTAATTCGAAAAAAAGACGTATATAATAGAATTACGGCTTTATATTTGTTTTGTTTATATATATAATACTAATGCTAAGCACTTTTGTCACGTAGGTGCGCTGCATGCTTTAGCTTTATTAAGCACGTAATTAAGTCACGTACAAGCTCTTATATAAACGAGTAATTAGTTCTTCTTTAAATTAGCATTATATCATACATAATATAATACACGTACTTATAGCACACATTCGAGTATCTTTCGATCGTCTTCTTTTTCTTCTTTTATTCACCTACGATTCTATTATAACTATATTCATATATATCTTTTGATTTGACGTTAAGTATATGTCGGAGCCTTTCCCCTCCACAATATAATCCGTAATATTAGCTTTATCGAAAGCAAGCATTCTAAAGGCTTTAAGTTTAAAAAGAAGTCTACGAATACTTACGTAATTCGAAGCATTTACGAAAGATAAGAAAGCTTAAATCTTTTTTACTTTGTCTTCGGTTAGCTTACGAATAGCATCTTCGCTAAGTCCGAAATCCTTTTAAGTCGAAGAAGTTATAGCTCTTTTTGATTTCCGAGAGCTTTAACGTAAGCTCGCTAAGTTAAGTTAATAAATATCGATTAAAGTATAAAAGTATCTCGAAACGGATACGAAAAAAAAACGAAAATGATATAAATGTTATAAGTATAAATAAATAACAAAAATAAAATAAGTATAATTTATAATAAATATTAAATACATAAAGAAATGTTATAAAGATATAAAATCTTGATACGTCGAAAGTAATTTATTAAAGAGTCGAGTGTCGATCGCTTCAAGCTAAATAATCGAAACTAAATCGATATAATAAACATTAGTAATACATCTAACTTTATAACGCAAGATCCGTAATAAGCGGAAGAATAATTACCGAAAATAAGTATATCGAAATAAAAACGAAGTCGAATAATAGCCGAGCTTCCGTGCAAGCATATAGCTTGCTTTTAATATAATGCGATACCGAAACGGTTCCGAATTGCATAACACTTATTTCCGCTCGTCATATCTTTTATTTGCTAAAAAGAAAGTTTAAGATATTCGAAAGCAATTCGAAGTTTTTATACGCAATTTCTATTACGAAGTAAATGTTAAATCTTTAACCTTTTAAGCTTAGCGTAGTATTTCCGATACTTCATTACTACCTACCTTTTTCAAAAAGAAAAAGCAATAGACTCGTACTAAAAGCGATATTAAATCGAAAAAGTAAAGTATATTAAACGAATAATACTTCGAGCGTATCGCCGTATAAAATAGTCGAAATGAATAATACTTTATAAATACTAAATTAAACTTTAGCTAGCTCGATTTCCGAACTAAAGTAACGACTTTCTAAGTAATACTTATCGAGTATACCGAATAGTATGCTCGACGGACATAAATCGAAGAAAGATCGCTTTTAAAGCAATAGCCTCGAAGCTTATATACAAAAGCACTTGATTATTAACTTAGCGTATATCGAATACTCTTCGAAAAAGCACCGCAAAAGCATATAGTCAATAGCTTAGCGTATAACGTAAACTCCGAATATATAACTTTTCGCAAAAGAAGCAAGTCTAAAAAGAGTATGAAAACCAACCTTTAGTTCGATTCCTTACGTAAATCACTAAATATATATCAAAGAGAAAAGCTTCGATATATACTTAACGTCAAATCAAAAGATATATATAAATATAACTATAATAAAATCGTAAGTGAATAAAAAAAGAAAAAGAAGACGATCGAAAAACACTCGAATGTATGCTGTAAGTACGTGTATTATATTATATATAATATTATTGCTAGTTTAAAGAAGAACTAATTACTCGTCTATATAAAAGCCTGCACGTGACCTAACTACGTGGTTAGCAAGGCTAGAGCATATAGCGCACCTACGTGACAAAGGTGCCTAGCATCAGTACTATATACATGGACAAAACAAATACAGAGCCCCAACTCCACCACAATAGCTAAGCTTCCGATCTAATTGTTTACGCCGTAAAGTATTAAATAGTAGTTTAAAACTCTGTCTTTTAGTCGTGAATTACGGTTTACGAATCGTTTAGTATTAACGTCGTGCTTAATCGCAATCACTCGAGTACTATTATTGTATTTAAAGAGCTAAAAAGGTTTTAAGTAAGCGATAAGCTTATAGTTTTCGTTTCGGCGATTAAGTAAAGCGGCAAAGTATAGCTTATAATAGCTTCGAAAGACTTGCTAAGTTAAAGAATGCATTATATTAAAGAATGCATCGGTCGAAGCTCTTTTTAAATCATTAGTCCGAAAGTAATGTAAGTATATTTAAATCTCTTTGTTTATAATAGTAAAAAAAGTCTAGTTGCTATGCTTATCGTTTAAGAAAAAAGCTTTTAATATAAATTAAACTTTCGTATAGTTATTTGGATCTATAGTATTAAAGAAGCTATTCTTTTAAGCGGTGCTTATTAAGCTAATGCTTTAATTTAGCTTATTAAAAGACATTAGCTTAGCTTTAAACTTAAAAGAGCTTAAGCTAGATATCTTTTTAACTAAAGTACTGCTCTTAGTCTTAATAGCGAACATCGATTAGTTGCTCGGATAAAGCATAAAGTTATTAAAAGCGTTAGTTCGATAAGCTTCGATGAATCGATATAAATTAAAACGGATTATTATTATTATAAAGCCTTTCGTAGCTAGCTTAAAGTATTTAACGTATTCGAAAGTATAGACTTCGTAAAAGACTTTATTTAACAATTCGATAACGGACGGTAAGACTTTGCGGCTAAAGCGGAGCTTCGTTTAAACGTTTAAGTTAAAGAGTTCTTTAAATTTATTTTTAAATTCTAATACGTTTTTTACTTTTTAAAAGATCTTTATATAATTGCAATCGTCGTTATTAAAGCTTAAATTAAAAATCTCGGATAATAAGAAATAGTTTACTACTTTGCTTTTTTCTTTACTTACTTTTACTTAGCTACGACGGTCGAAAAGTTATAAGATCGCGTTATTAAAAAATTCGTTTTTTAAAAGCTTGCGGATCTAGCTAATAGCTTTTTTAATCGATTCTGCGGCAACTTAAAAAGCATTATCGATATTCTCGTTTAAGTTTAAGCGATCGAAAGCTAATTAATAAAAGTCTTAGCAAAAGTTAATAAGCGTTACGTTTATACTTTAAAAGTCTTTAATCTCGACGAGTCCGAAGCAGCGGTTCGACACGGCTTTAGCTAATTTGTATTCGAAGCTGTTTCTTTTTTTAACGGATAATGCTAATAACAGCTAGTTTTCGAAAGGGTCGCGTTGCATTTTAAATGTAAAAGCTAAAAGAAAGCTTACGTCGATAGATTTGCGTAAAGTAAATATAATCGAAGCAATCAAGTTAACGTTCGAAAGCTCATTAACAAAAGATAACATCGATCTTTAAAATAAAGCTAATAATAATAAAAAGCGCGTAATAAGTAATCTAAGCAAAAAGGTCTTAAAAGCAAAAGATTAACTTAATCTCGCTTTAATTACTAAATCATCTAGCACTCGTGAATTACGGTTTACAAATAGAATTTTGTGACGACACGCCAGGTCTCCTGGACGCACCTCATATGCGCCAAGCTACTTTCCTCTTTTTTCCTTTCGTATTCTTCGTATTCTCTCATTCTCCGCTTTTGACCTATGAACTATGGTTTACGAGTCCTTGGCGCTTTTACCTTCGTGTATATAGACCTTAGCTACTTTCGACCTTTATACTCGGTAGTTGTTGATTTTAAGTTATTACTTTAAGATTCTCTTGAGCTCTTATGTGAACCCCCGCGCTTCCGTGAGTTCCTTTAAGTAATCGCTTAAGGTCGTCACATTATCAACAACTACCTTACTCCGCCGGGAACGGCTTTAATAATATTCCTCTTCTTTAGAATTCTTTAGTAGTTAAACGTCAAAAAACATTTAGACGATACTAACGGTCACGAGAAGGCTTATTCCAAGTATAACTTAAAGGATAGCACTTATACAATATAGCAACCCTCGCCCCGCGGGCAAAATCCTCCGCATACTTCTTAAAGCTGCTCTAGCAGCTCCTTCCTCCTCTTTTACGGCCCAACTAGCAGTTCCTTTTACTCAAGAAGAAGCTACTAGTGAGCAAGACGATGAAGATGATCCTTCGGCCCTTACTAACCCCGAAGAAGCCTTGGCTTAACACCAAGCTCTCCTCTAATCTTAACGAGAGGCTGCTGAGCTTAGAAAGCTTTTCGCAGATATGAAAACTCGCAACGAAAAGCTTGATAAAAACGCTAGCGAATAAAAAACCCTCGCTGAAAGGGCTGAAAAAGAAGCCCGTCGAGCTCGAAAAGAACTAGACTAGCTTTAAGCGGTCCTGCCAATTACGGAACGCCCGTCAAAGCCTCCCTAAGTCTCTTTCGAAGATAATTCTAAAGACAAGGAGCTATACAGGCCCTCGGTCTCCCAGACTACTCCCTTTACTTATAAAACCGCTAACCTTCGCCGCTTTTTCGACGACGACGATAAACCACCTTCTCCTTACAGGCCAACCAACCCCCGCATTCTAGCTAGGTTTAATACCTCTAGAGCTTCTTCTTTAGCTTTTTAAGGTCGCGCTCGTATCAAGCGGATCTTTAACTTTAAACAGAAGCTTTCAAACGGTGTAAGCTATCGAGCACGCTATTAGCAAGCCCGCGTCTTCGACAACTTAAAAGCTTTCGAAGAATACTTCTTTATAAAACGCTAACGCAAGAACTACGTCCTTAACCAAACCGAAAGAACAGCTTATCTGTTCTTAGCCCTTTTAGTTATAGATCGTAGCAACCCCGTAACCGCTCCGGAACTCGTTTAGATCGTCTTCGAGTTCTTGAACGACCCCGCTAAAAAAGCTAAAGCGTCAATTGAGTTCGAAAAACTTTATATAAAGCTTAACTAGCAATTTTAAGACTTTTACTTTGTTTTCTCGGAGCTTGCTATTACCGCCGAAATCAAGGACGAGGACCGATTACGTAAAGCCTTGCGTTCCAAGATTACTAAGACGCTGCGCGACCAGCTCCATTTAGAATTTATTAAGATTACAACCTTTAAGGACTTTTAGATTGCCGTCCAATAATTGGCTGCTAGCTAATACGCGTTTGCAAAGCTCTACGACGCTCCATAAGCCAAGTATAATACTTAATTCGCGAAGAGCTTTCACAATAGAGCTCGTACCGAATCCCGCTCGGCCTAAGGAGCAGCGGTTAAGCAAATCACTTATTACGAGAACCGCCAAGGTAGCTTAACCCCCGTCTCTTTTCCTACCCTTTAGCGCTAAACCTTTAACAGCCTTAGCGCTAGTGCAAATCGATCCAATCGATCTAATAAATTCTCTTCTTTCGGAAACGCCCTTAAGTTAGCGATCAAGACCTTTAAATCGTCTCGCAAAGACCCGAATACGCCGAAGCTCCCCCGCTACCACTCAATCAACGAGATAGAATACGGCGCTAGACTTGAATACGGCCTTTATTCGGATGACTCGGACGATAGGCCTTACTCCGATGCTCTTAAAGATCACCAAGAGCTCCCTCCTGCTGACTCCGACGCTCCTAATAGGGGAAACGTCGAGGCCTAAGCAAAGCCTCCTTCTTAGGCCAGCTTCGAGACATACGATACCTCGACCTTACGAAGCTTCTTGGTAGTAAAACTATGATTATACTCGTCACCTTTATTAAGAATGGCTTTTCGTACAAAGTATCTGCTTTGCTCGATTCAAAAGCTAATAAGTACGCGCTGATTGACTTAGCGCTATTTAAATCGCTTTTTTTCTTTTTTAAACCTTTGATTCAATCCTTCTCGGCCCTATTTCTTATCAAGTCATATAATAGAGCTCGTGGAGCCACTATCTTACATTTTGCACTTTTCAACTTTACGGTTGACAAGCGCGTCTAATCCTTTACTCCTTTTCTTATCACTAACCTTAGGAATCACAGCGTGATCTTCGGACGAGCATAGCTGGCTAAGCATCAGATTCTTTTTGATTGCGCTCGCCGCAAGCTTTATTAGCCTCGTTTCAACTTTCCGACCGCCACTTACGCTAAACTCATTAAGATTACACACCTTAACTAGCGTAAAGTAAACGCTCGTCACTAACACGACGCTAACAAGCGTAATCGAGCCTTAGACCGCTTTTAAAGAGCTTACGACGCTAATTCATTCGTGAACTATAGTTCACGGGCGGATCAAGCAGCAATAATAATCGCTGAATCACCTCTTTCTCTTCGGAATCGTCCTCTTTTCGCTTCTTCTTTTAAGATCGTTGAACCCTTTTCTTTTATTCACCTTTTCGTAAAGCCGTTACTCTTTCGCTTTACGAAAAACACTTTTTTTAAAAACTACGCTAAATCAATGTCTTAGATGAACCGTAAGCTTGTGTCAACCGATATCGCTTCCGTAAAACCTCTTTTACTCGTTAAACGCTTCCGCTAAACATTTAAGCACAAAATCAATAGAAACCTTAAAATCAACGGCGTTTTCGGATACGCTTTCTATATAATCGCTCGCCAAAAAGACGTAAAACTATTCTTTACGTCCTTTTACGAGCTCGATTGCTTGATCTCCGAGCGTTAAACGATTGCTTTTACTCAAGCTAACTACTAAGCATCGCTGATACGCTTTACTAACGGCTTTATCTCTGCTATTGATCTTGCAGCGGAACTATTAAAGCTTATTAACGACTTTCCTATCCTTCTCGAATATTTCGATTACGCACACGTGTTCTTCAAGGCCGCTAGCAACGTGCTAGCACCACATAAGCCTTACGACTATAAAATCGAGCTTCTCGAAGGAGGGGAAAAGGCGCTTCGGTACTTACTATTATATAAAATATCAATCCTTAAGCTAAAGCTTACTAAAGCCTACTTTATCGACAATCTTAATAAAGGTTTTATCGAACCTTTAACAGCGCTATTTGCAGCTCTAATCTTGTTTGCTAAGAAGCAAGACGGTTCCTTTCGCTTTTATATTGATTTCCGCGCGCTGAACAACCTTACTCGTAAAGATCGATACCCTTTCTTCTTGATCGATAAGACCTTCGCACGTCTCTTAAAAGCTAAAATCTTTACGAAACTCGATATTCGGCAAGCCTTTCATAGAATACGGATGGACCCAGCTTTAAAAAAGCTCACAATATTTAAGATACGTTATAATGCTTACAAGTGTAAGGTTCTTTTATTCGGATTAACCAATAGACTCGCCACTTACTAACGCTATATGAATGACCTCCTCTTCGACTTCTTAAACATCTTTTGCACGGCATATTTAAACGACATCTTAATCTACTCCTCCGACCTCTTAAAGCACGCTTACCACGTTCGCTAAGTCCTCTAACGACTCGACGACGCTAGCTTTTAGGCTGATATCAAAAAATGCGAATTCAGCATAACCAAAGTAAAATACTTAAGCTTCATCATTTCTACCGAAGGCCTAGAAGTAGATCCGGATAAGACGTCGATAATAAAGCATTGGGCGCCCCTTATAACCGTTAAAGGCGTCCAAAGCTTCCTTGGATTTTATAACTTCTACCGCCGTTTCATTCGAGACTATAGCGTGATCGCGAAGCCTTTAGTGCACTTGACTAAAGCTAACGTTCCTTTTTCATTCAATTCTTAGTGTCAAAGAAGCTTCGACCTTTTAAAGCTCGCTTTAATTACTTCGCCAATCTTATAGCATTACAACTAAGACCTCCTTTATATGCTAGAAACTAACGCTTCAAACGGCGTAATCGCCTTAGTCTTTTCTTAAAAGCATAGTTCCGACTGGCTACCAGTCGCTTACTACTTTAAAACCATAGCTCTCGCTAAGCTCAACTACGTCGTCTACGATAAAGAGATGCTAGTTATTATACGCTCCTTTAGTAACTTCCGCGCCGAACTCGCCGGCTCCTTTTACTAGGTTCAGGTAATCATCGACCACAAGGCTTTAAAGTACTTTATGACCTCTAAGACCTTTAACGCCCGTTAAGCACGCTAAGCAGAGCTCCTCTCCGACTACAACTTCATCATCACGTATAAGCCAGGTAAAGACAACCCTTTAGCTGACGCGCTAACACGTCGCACCGAAAAGCTCTTTTCCTAGAACAACTTTAAGCGCACCTAACGCTTGCAAACGCTGCTCCGCGCCAACAACGTTAACTTACGACTCCTGACCGAAGAGCTACGCTAACTTACGCCCTCGGAGACCGCCGTTACTATCGAAGAGATCGCGGAGCTCTTACTTACATTCCGAGTTATTAATCAAGTCTTAGAAGCCAATCGGACCGCCTCTAGTTTCATAGCACTTCGAATTCAAGCTTTCAGAGCTGAGTCCTTACTCGTGAACCACGGTTCACGAGCTAAACTCACTATAGAAAGCGACTTGCTGCTTTATAACGGCCGCTTATTAGTTCCCGACGTCTAAAACTTGCGCTCGTTACTCGTCCGAGAAGTCTACGACCAAGTATTTACGGCACACCTTAGCTCTCGCAAAACCTATAAGCTCTTTGCAGCATAGTACTATTAGCACGGTATAGCCAGATTCGTTAACTAGTATTGCTGCAATTGCTACGCTTGCAGACGAGCTTTAGTGCCCCGCGATAAAAAACTTAGCTTGCTTTAACCTCTCTCGATCCTCTCGCGCTTTTAAGAGCACGTTACTATAGATTTTTATAGCTTTAATAAAGACAAATACGGCTACGACAACGTTCTTGTAGTAATCGACCGCTTCTTTAAGCAAGCAATCTCGATCCTTTATCATAAGTCTATCGACGCTAAAGGCCTCGCCAAGCTTTATATCTACTACATCTATAGGTATTTTGGAGCTCTTTTAACGCTGACTTCTGATAGAGGACTTTAATACTGGTCTGAGTTTTGGAAAGAATTTAATAAAATCTTCGGCACTAAACTAACCTTTAGCACCGCCGCACACTTTGAGACTAACGGTTAGATCGAAATCTACAACCAATACTTGCAAAAGCGCCTCCGTCCCTTCGTAAGCTACTACTAAGACGATTGAAGCGAGTTCCTCTTTATAATGGACTTCGCCTAATTGACGCTCCTTCACGACTCTTTCGGCGGCCTTTCCCTTTTTAAAGTAATTCACGGCTACGCTTTTCGGACCACCTAAAATTAAAGCTTGGAACGACCTGACGACTAAACCTCTTCTCGCAAGCTCAACTAAGACGAA